GTTATTTGGAAGAAGAGAAACTAGATAATTAACATGAAAGATGTTCGGAATTGCGCCTGAATGTTTTTGGAAAACAAAAAACCCATATGCCAAAGAATCACTTTTAAAAGTCATGAGCGTGGGGTTATCTGATCTATCCTGAGCGGCATGGACAATCGCGCTATAAATAATTTATTTTCCTGACAAAGCCAAATAACATTTAAAAATTTACTGCATTGCGTTACAGAAAGAAACAAAGCCAGTGGTCCTCTAATGGTCGTTGAATCAAGACCCACAATCTTGATGTTCAGTCGCGCAACTACCTAAAATCCTCAGCAATGTACGAATAGTCTGACGCTGTGAATATATCTGTCGTATGTGATGTATTTTAAAGGGCAAGGCTATGAAATAAAAAAAACATTCCAACACGTGCGGTTTCTGACGAGTTTGATGGACATAGTATATGTTTAAAATAGCTCAAAACAGAGATTGTTTTCAATGGCATTAACAAACCACAATCATCGTCTCAAAAAACCTGGATAGCACCTTTCCGAGGATCTAAATCTCAGAATGTTCCGGTGGAGGCATGCCCCCGACCCCCACGTTTAGTACATTCTGGAACCGCCTCGGCTAATAGACAAACAGTGTCCTTCCACCATCTTTATGATTGAATCAAGGCATATATGAAATGCTACGAGGTGTAAGCCACAGTAACAACGATAATAACAACAATTATTATGGCAGTCATGGTAATTGAATGGCGTAAGACACCAAGGTATCATCTTTCTTATTAACCACCAAGCTTTAGAGTTACTATCCCCATTTCCGTTACTGCTTTAAGATGTATTCGTAGCAGTTTGCTTCAGCTGTTGTTGTTGCTTTTTTTTGGATCGAATAAAATTGTGGTCTAAATCGCGGAGAGTCTCGTCCAGCTTCACATCAGGCCAAAAATAGCAGAACAAGCCATTTCCATGTTGATTATTAAAATGGACTGAGCAAGTTTCATTGACCGACTTAAAAATCCAATTGCCTTGTAACACTTTCTTCTAGATTTGAAAAATGGATGGTTCTCCACAAATGCGTCTTCCAATTTCAAATGCCCCTTCCCTTCCGCGTTTGGTAAAATCCTTGCTTTTCTTGCACAACCCTCAACCAACGGAGAAAAATATGCACTGCTATCAGCAGGCAATGTTTCAGTCAATCACCAGCAGGTGGTTATCCAACCAACATCGAAGCACATAAAATGCATCTTTGACACGAAAAGTTTCCATTTGGTTCTACCGTTGACGATGGCAGGGTGCACACAACTACATGAGGGGACGCAAATCGTCTGTACTGTAAGTATCCCGGAGAGTCCCCTACATTTTCTTAGAATTTTAGTCTAAGAAAATGTATGGGGACTGTAAGGTGTCATAATCCTGTTGCTGCTGACATCGATGTGACAGATAATTGCTTTTGCACTGTTTTCTTTGCCGGCTTATACTTGTGATCAAGTTTCAATAAGACGGCTATCATTTTTCACAAGAATAATGAAGTTTTCGTAAATTGTGAGATTGGATGGGATTAAAATGGGATTAAATCACCTACAGAGCTTGATATGTACTTACAGTACAGACGGTTTGCGTCCCCTCACGAAAAGACAAATATGAATTTGCATTTTTGACATCTATTTGCATTTTTCATTTTATTTGCAATCATCTTCTCGTACTTTTATTCGGTCGAGATGAAAGCATTGTGGACAAGCTGCAGACAGATCGATGATTCTGTCAAAACCTTATA